GATGTCTGAAAAACTTGTTCCATCATCCATTGCCAAGAAACACTTGGTTTTCCACGAAGAACTAGTTTGCTTTTTCCTTTTAAAGACTTTTTGGTAGGAAAAGACAGTGATAAATTCATGTGAGATCTACGCGAGAATGCTTGGAGGACTGTGGCATTAATAAGTAGTCATACATAAGTTACCTTGATGGATGAGAAACTGGAAACCATGTCCTGTGAGGAATTATTGCAGAAAACAGAGGTATTCAGAGGGCACACTTGCAGGGGCACATCTTACCATACTAACAAAGCTTTATGGCTTGGTTTGTTCAACATCTCCCATGAATACCTTAAAGCTTTACTATGTAATTTCTAAGTGATTTCTAAGGGAGAATCATACTTTACTCTCCCTCTGAAATGCCAGAATCTCAGCAGAAAGGATATGGTCATCAGTGACACTCTTCTTACCCTTTTTCCCTGCCCATCAAGGGTACCTGGGGATACCTACCCTGAAATTGGAATTCTCCATTCCCCTCCCCCAGAGTATGACTATGAGAGCTGATATTGAGAGCTCTAAGCCCAAAGTGATCTTCTGTCATTGTCTTAATTGGCTATCATGACAAACATGCTCTGAAACATGACCTACCAGCACTCAGTTCTTTGAAAATAGTGATGATTCCTACATACAGTTATTTGCCTTTGGGTCATCCAGGAAGCATTCATTACACATCTCATTCTATACCCGGTGAATGAGAATGGTTCCCATAGGCTTAAATATTTGAATTTTTGGTCCCCAGTTGGTGGAACTGTTTGGGAAGGATTAGCAGGTGTGGCTTTGTTGGAGGTAGTCTGTCTGTCACTAGGGGCAGGTTTTGTGGTTTCAGAAGCCCATGAAATTCCAGTTAGTTCTCTGCCTCCTAGTTGAGGATAAGAATGTAAGCTTTTAGCCACCACACAGCACCATTCCTGCCTGCCTGCTGCCATACCCCCCACCATGATGGTCATGAACTCAGCCTCTGAAACTGTACACCCAATAAACTGTCTCTTTATAAGTCACTTTAGTCATGGAATCTCTCTACAGCAACAGAAAAGTAACTAAGATGCCAAGAACGAAGGAGAGTGAAGTTCAATGTTTTTGTCATGGCAGAAGTCATCAGCTTTCAGAGATTCACATGGAAGCAGACCAAGCCTCTTAGAACTTCTGCTCACAAGTCACACAGGGTCCTTTCTACTCACATTCTATTGGCCAAAGTAGAAAGTATATCACATGGCCATGCCAAGTGAATGGGGCACTGAAGTTCATTCTGCACATAACATCTCAACAATAACACAATGTATAACAGTACCCCAGGGTCACAAAGGACAGTCTATTGATTCAATCTGCCGAAGTATCAGAGAACAGAAGAAAGTGGGCCAGAAGCCATGCTGATCTAAAGACTATGGAGCCTCCACTGGACAAGGTCAGAAAGGCACGTTCATCAGAGACACTTCAGTCAAAAGTGAGTATTTTGTGGGATTTGAAACTTTGTGGAATCTGTGGAAGCTGGGTGTAGAGGAGGAGGTCCACTGTCCTCCCGTACCACTCTTTTTAAGGTAGAGTCTCTCTCCCTGGATCTGGAACTCAGGTGTGTGTGTGTGTGTGTGTGTGTGTGTGTGTGTGTGTGTGTGTGTCCTACCCCTCCCTACATCCTCTCAAAGGCTGGCAGGCGGTGAGCCTCAGTAGCCTTCCTGTTTCCTCAGTGCTGGGATTATAGGCCTGCACAGAACTATGCCCGGCTTGTTACATGTCTTCACACTTGGCCTTAAGCACTGAGCCATCTCTCCAGCCACACCTTTCGGAACCTTATAGTACGGTGCTGCTATAATTCAGCGGGAGTAAGAAGAAATCAGACCAACAGCACCACTAAAAGGACTCATTACATTGATTACCTAGGCGTTCTGCTGATAAATAAAGCAACTCCTAGCAGCAATCCATGCTGTCAAATTACTGCAGCCATGCACTGTCTCAGGGATTTGCTTCGGCCACTCCCCATTCAGATGAAGTTGTACTGAGAAGGAAATCACTGAATAACTGAGGGAAAGCTCGTGCAATGCACAATTCTTCCCCCTTTAGCAGTTGAGGAAAGCCAAGCAGACAGAAATGGCTAGACTTAGAGAACGACTTGAACATTCATGTCTGCAGTGCATTGTTCCAATAAGGTACCTGCACCTCTTCAGAGAGTAAGCCTTCTTGGCAAGTAAGCCCCTAAAACGTGGGCCCATTGGCAGTAATTGAAAGCATGGAACTGTTGTTTCAAAGTAAGAATTCAAGGGGCTGTAGAGATGGCCCAGCAGTTAAGAGTACTTATTGTTCTTGCAGAGAACCTGGGTTCAGTTCCCAGGACTCACATGGCGGTTCACAAACCACCTGTAACTAGAGTTCCAAGGGATCCAATGTCCTCTTCAGACCTCCATGGGCATGTAGTGTACATATACACATTGTGCTGGTTGGTTTTTGTCAACTAGACATAAACTTAGACATATTTGGGAAGAAGGAATGTCACTTGAGGAATTACCTTCTTTAGACAGACTTATAGGCAATTCTGTGGGCCATTTTCTTGATTCATCATTGATGTGAGAGGGGCTAGCCTACCTGGTGTTATCATACCTGGCAGGTGGTATAAGAAAGCAGTCTGAGGAACCAACCAGTAAGCAGCACTCCTTCCTGGTCTCTGCTTCAGTTCCTGACTCCAGGTTCCTGCCTTGAGTTCCTGCCCCAACTTGCCTTCATGATGGACTACCACTGTTAAGCTTAAATAAATCCTTTCCTCCCCTAGATGCTTTTGGTCATGGTGTTTTATCACAGCAATACTAAGACATACATGCAAACACTCATACACATAAATAAATCTTTTTGAAAAAAATTAAAAGATTCAAATGGGTCACTGAATAGCTTCTTCTTACGGGTACTTAAATAATATTGGAGCTCTCAAAGACTAGAACTTAGTATTGCTTTTTTTCTTACATCAGAACACACATTCACTTTTGAAAGAAGTTGAGGTGCCAACAATAACCCAGCACCCTTGTCTCCTCCTGACAACCTTCCCGCTTCTCTGTTGGAAACTGCCATGCCCCTCAGAAAAGTTAAAATGAGACTATCAATCAACTTAAGCTGTCACTCCTGCTTTTAAAAGATTAAACTTACACATCAAAAGAGCTGTCCATTAAGACAACAACAAAGAATTTCTAACCTCCCCTCTCAATATTTTAATTCCCGTCTGATGGTCAAGCCTTCTTTGTTCTTGTCAGGTGCTAACATTGCAAAGATGTGTCCGTCGTGCTGTAGTCTATGTATTAAAAGCAGAGCACATCTATGCCATGGCATTTGTGCTTATCCACACATCATGGGCATGCACACACATATAGAAGCAATATGTTTAAAATATATATTTAAAGATAGCTTCTCTTGGGGCTGTAGGCAGAGTTTTTCTGTCCCAGCAGTCGCTCCCACATAACCACACAGAGACTTAATATTAACTATAAATGCTCAGCCGATAGCTCGGGATTGTTACTATCTCTTACAACTTAAATCAACCCATTTCTATTCATCTGTGTGTTGCCGCAAGGCTCATTGACCTCATCTATGAACTCCCCGTGATGCTTCTTCAGCAGCTCCAGCCTCCTCAGACTTCATCCTTCTTCCCAGCATTCTCTCTGCCCCCAAAATCCTGCCTAGCAATCAGTCAATCAGCTTTTTTAAAAAAAACTTTTATTTATTTATTATGCATACAGTGTTCTGCCTGCATCCCTGCAGGCCAGAAGAGGGCACCAGATTTCATTAAGGATGGTTGTAAACCATCATGTGGCTGCTGGGAACTGAACTCAGGACCTCTGGAAGAACAGTCAGAGCTCTCAACCTCTGAGCCATCTCTCCAACCTGAGCCAATCAGCTTTTTAGTAACAATGAGAGCAACACATTTTCACAGTGTACAGAAGGATTATTCCACAGCATGGGGCTGTGGAGACAGCGCAGGGGCACTGCTCTTAGACAGGACCAGAGTTTGGTTCCCAGCATCCACATCAGGCAGCTCACAACTAACCTGTAACTTCAACTCCAGGGGTATCCCGGGCTTACCCTTCAGGAATAAACATATACCCACGCACTTATCATTTAAAATAATAAAAATAAATCTTTTAAAAAAGATTCTTTCCTTGATCAGTTAAGCTCTCGAGTCCTCTCCTGGGAGAGGCCTCTCTGCCTAGGTGCCCGCCCCATCCTCTGCTTGCCCAGCCTAGTTTTCGCAAGAATCCCCCAAAGTCAGTTTAGCACTCTTGATATCTGATCATCCTGCCTGCTTTCAACAAAAATCCTGTTCAGTGAGTTTAGCAAGAATCCCTCAACCTTTGTTAATTCCTCTTAGTAATTTCCCATCCCCTGACATCTACACCCCTTCCTCTTGGCTATAAATCATCAGCCCCCAAGTAGAACTCAATCTCTTAGTGTTTAGTATCAAGTGGGTTTTTGTTTGTTTTTTTAAAACAAGCGCCCAACAGGAATCTTTTAACCGTAGAATCTTCTGGAATAATGAGGGTTTCGAGGGCTCTTGGAATATTCTCCACAGAGCTGCCGGCAAACAACTTCTACACAGCTGTTTCGTCCAGGGGATCACATGCTTGGGAGTTAATGGGCAACACTACAAACATCTTCAAGTTCGCGTCTCTGGAATGCCCAGGAACAGCGTTCTGGACAGAATAAAAACGCTGAGCCCGGTCACCCCTCCGCCTCCTCGGCGGGCTAGAGTCCCAGTGCACGTCTGGACGCCTGAGCGGCGCGCTCACCGGTGCTCCGCCGAGCAAACGCCCACCTCGGCGGCTACCAGCGAGCCAACCATCGGGGTGCACCGCTCCCGCGTTCTCCAGCCCGGGCCCGCGGCGCCGACGTCGCCGGAAGCACCGCCGAGGCCTGCTGACGTCAGCCGCTCTTAGCCCGCCCCCTAACACCCTCGGCCCCGCCCTCCCCTCCCCTCCCACCACGTGTCCTCGCTCGGTCGCCGGAGGCCGCGCTGGGGCGGCTGGAGCGGCTGAGCCGATGGCGCGGTGAAGGGCCGGGCCGGAGTCCTTGTCGCCCCCTGCGGCGACGCCGTCCGCTCGGCCCCGGTGAGTGCGCGCGGGCCGCGGGGCTGGAGCGGTTCCTTCTCGGGGCTGGCGGGGCGGGACGAGGCTGGGCCGCGGCGGGGCGGGGGCCGCCGCCGATGGCAGCTGTCGCCGCCGCCGCCGCCGCCTTTGTTGCGGGCCGGCCGGAGAGGAGGGCGGCGCGAGCTGTCGCCGCCCCGCAGGTGCACGGGGAACCGGAGCTGGGGGGCGTGTGCCGGGGGGCGTCCGGGAAGGGTCGGGCAAGATGGCTGGAGTGAGCCGGGGCGGCGGCGGCGGCGGCGGGCACCTTCGCGCCGGCCCCTCCCACCTCCCGCCCGGCCGCCGGGCGCAGGCCGCGGCCAACTTCAGGCCCCGGCTCCTGGGACCTCACGGGCATTCCTACTTCCCCAGGCCGCCCTCCACACCCCACCCCCGGAAGCATTGGAGAAGCTGACTCCGAACTCCGGGAAGATCTTTGCTTTGGAAGTCCCGGAAAATGGGACTCGCAAGATGCACACTCACTACACACCCAGCAGTTGCCGGCAGTCTTTTAAGGGGAAGCTCTTTGTACCGGCCTGAGGCGGCTTCATATACAGAGAATTTGCGACCCAGAGCGGGGAGGAATCCTGCCAGGTCTGGGTTGGCCGCCGCCACCCAGGCACACCCCTCTGTATCACGGACTTGGCTTTGGCAGGTCCTCTAAGGAAGACTGTTAAGTTTCTGAACTGGCTTGTGGACAGCGCCTGTGAATCTGAAAAATCCAGGTGATAAGTATTTCTTTTGCTAACTATTCAAATGTCCTGTCTAGGCTCAGACTTTTTGACCTGGTAGCACATCAGCACCGCTCTCCTCTGGCCCCAATTCGGTGTTCAGTTGGTACTGGCAGTGGGAAACTTATGCATGTCAGTGCACTGTTTGAAACCTCTTCCTGGAATACTCATCCACTGTTCTCGGTTCAGTCCTTCTGTACAAATCGTTTCTGAAAACTAGTCCAGTTTCTGAACCACAGAAAGCTTTTTAAATATTTGAAGCTAGCCAGGTATATTGTCTGCCCACAACCCCTCTAATAATAATGAAATAAGCCACTTTCCCTGAATCCCTTCCTTCTAGCTGGAAGCAGGCAATACTTTGCAGGTTTGTGTGCGCCCCAGGCACCCTCTCACGGTCTGAGAGTTCACACTGACACCTGACATGTCTGCTAAATCTTGCATGCAGAGATGGAGTCCCCAGCCTACCCTCTAAATTTGACTCTGAAAGAAGAGCAAGCAAAGGAGATTCAGATCCGAGAATTGGAGGATGGCCCCCTCATAGATATGCAGAAAGTACAAATTTATTCAAAAGGCGCATGGGTAAGTAAGAGGGTGTGGGATCCAGCCTGAGAGCTGGGCTTGCTCTAGGCCTCCTCCTGGGGCAGACATGGGAAGTAAAAATAGCCCCGACTCATGTGCTCACATTCCTGAGAAAACAGCCCTGTGGCTTCAAAAGGCAGTGCAAATAAGGGAGGGAGGGAGGAGGTCGAGGTGGAAACAGGGCCTCCAGCGCCGATGCCGAGTTCAAGTCTCAGAAACTGAGACCTTGTCTTCTTGTCACTCTCATTCACCTGTTTCCTATGTGCCTGACGTAATATCATCATAGATATTGTAGGCACCAAACGTATGTAAGACTTGGGTCATTGAGTTAATATGAGGAGAATTTAGGCAGAACAGTTGACACCCAGTGCTCTATGTCCCCCAGGTGTAAGTGGAAATGCTAAGCTCCAAGGGACACACAAGTGTAAGTGCAACAGTATTGAATACATACATTTATTTGCAGTAGTTACTGGAGTCATGGAAATTGAGTATGAGCGGTAAACATTTTAAATAAGCAATAAATTGACATTGCTTAGTTTTTTTTTTATTGCATATAAACATTATCAGTATCATCAGTACATAATATTCTTTGTGCCCAATAAAAGGGAAACCCTTCATCGTAGAACACAGAGCCGCAGGCAAAGAAGTAGAAAGACCTTTCTTCCAAATGCAGAACCTCAGGTACTAAAAGATGTCTGCTTTGCTGCCCAGATCCTGTGTACACTGACTTCCTGAGCTGCAACCCTCCCAGGTGGAACGTGTTGTGTCTCAGTGTAAACTGTCCATGCACCACCAGGCTCTGGACTTACTGGTCTGGAGCTGTGCTGCCTTTGACCTATTCATGTTTGTCCACCCTGTCCCTCCCCAGTTCTGGCAGCTTGAAGACCTCAAAGCAGCAGAAACCCTGGATTCTGAGGCTAAGGTGAACAACCCAAATGGGCTGGAGCAGTATGGAAATCAGGTGCAGTCAAAGTAGACAACTGATTGTGTTGAGCAAATGAGAAAAGCCAGGTGAGGTGCATGCCTGGCCCAGGAAAGAAAGAAGGGAGTAGAGAGGCCGGAGACTGGAGAAGGAAGCCTGGCAGCTTGAGAGGTGGGACTGGATTTGGGCATTTGCAACCTCTAGGAAGTCTGCTGCCCATTGACAGCTACTGCCCAGTGTTAAGACAAGTCCCTGCCTTCATGGAGCCCCCAATCTCAGAAGGGAAAGGAGCCTGACAGGGCAGTGGCGGTCAGTTCACATGCAAAAGCAGGGAAATCTCATTCAGGCCTGAGAGTGTGCTTCCTGGAGGAAGCCTACTCTTGAGCAGTGGACAGTTTTGCCCCCTCCCTACCCTGGAACATATGCAGTATACGGAGATGACTTTAGTAGAGGTTGGGTGTGAGGCCCTACTAGCATCCTCTGTTCGAGCCAATGCACCTACAATGCAATTGAAGGTACCCTGCGCATACAACAAGGAACTGGGTAGTCCAAAATGTCAGTAGTATATGGTTGAGACACTGATCTGGCACATTAAATTAGGAGAAGAACAACGTAGAATCTGTATTTTAAATGCATATTTTGATAATAATTAAGATGGTTCATAAGAACTACTCACGTGTAAGCTTGCTCTCTAGTAGAATTGGAGTAGAAATACAGTTTCAGTAGAAAGAAAAATATACTTTGAACTGAGCCTTATATTGAGTGGATGAAGAAAGGGAAGGGAGAGAGGTTCCACTCCAGGCAAGAGAACAGCATGATCAAAGGCATGGGGGAGAGAGGCTGTGGGTGGAGCTGAGACACCCCTGAAGCTGGAACCTTAAGTGTGAGACAGGCAATAGCAAAAGGTAAGCCAGGGGACATGGTGTGCTGCACTGCGCAGTTAGAGCTGGCCTGAGTAACTCTGAGGAATGAGTCTTTTCTGGTTTGGTTTGGTTTGGTTTGGTTTGGTTTGGTTTTGGTTTTTTCGAGGCAGGGTTTCTCTGTGTAGCTTTGGAACCTGTCCTGGAACTTGCTCTGTAGACCAGGCTGGCCTCGAACTCACAGAGATCCACCTGCCTCTGACTCCTGAGTACTGGGATTAAAGGCGTGCACCACCACAGCCGGTGGAGGAATGAATCTTAAGTGAGCCTACATTAATAGGGCTCTGTAGAGCAGAGCTGGGAAGGATTACATACTACAGTCACCTTGGTAAGGCCAGAGCAGCCTGAGACAGCACTAGCTTTGGAATCAGACTGTAGCTGTATGAATTCAGCCAAGCTACTTAGCCACTATTTCCTTAACCATAAAAGTTGAGTAGCAATCCCCATATCCATACCTTATTTAAATAATAAAAAGAGATAATATGTTTATGTGCATGGAAATACCCCAGGCAGTGCCTGACCCAGCAGGGGCTCCATTGATGCAGAGGTTCCAACTCCCCTCAGATGCCTATTATGTAGTAGGTCTCCAAGTGTGAAGTGCTTTACAAAACAGTTACCCTTGGAGGTAAGTATGGGAATGCCAGCTTCCCAGGAGAGCAAGGCAGTCCACACAAGCTAAAGATGAGCCCTTAATCATGTGAGAGAGGAAGGACAGGAATTGCAGGTTCTTAGCTGTTAGGCCAAGGAAGGATGACTGAAGCTTGAGCTGCCTGCAGACTGCCTGGCTTCTCAGTTTTAACTAGATCCAGCACTGTTTACCTTCCGTTGTCTTTGATCAAATAAAAGGTCTGTGTAGCAGGGCTCAAAGTCTTGCCTCATCTTCACAGGGCTCTGGGAAGACTTTCTAAGCCTCTCTGTTGTGCCTGGGGTGGGGTGCATGTTGTGGACTTGTTTGAAGATCCTCTAGCCACGTGATAATTAGGAGAGGATGAGTCCCCACACCAGCTCTTGAAAGTCAATATTTATCCAGGTCTAGAATGTGTTACCTGCTCTGCAGGGATTGATATAATTAGGCCTGCATTCTTCTGTCAGTGAACGGAAGGAGATTATAAATAGTTATGGCCTAGATCTGGAACTTGTAAGGGAGTGAAAGGCCAAAGAGAGAGTTGTTTAAAATCTTGGGTAGTAGGAATAGAAAACACTGGAAATTCTCTAAGTTGCCTGGTTTCCAGAATGAGGAAGTCTGAGGAATACCTAGGGACCACACCATTTTTATCTCCTTCTCTTTCACATGTAAAGAATTTTTATTCAATTTTACTCCAAAGAGTTGACTTGATTTTTTTGGCAAATAAAATTTTAATTGTTTAAAACTGTTCCAAGTATGACAAGAGAAGAGAAATCCAAAGGTAATCTATTTGTCTCAATAGCTCATTCAGTAATACGTGGTATGTGCCTACTAGCTACAGCAGTAGTTTTCAACCTTCACAGGGGTTGCAGATATCCTGCATGTCAGATATTTACAGTTCATAGCAATAGCAAAGTTACATTTATGAAATAGCAATGAAATAATTTTACCATTGGTGGTCACCACAGCATGAGGAACTGTATTAAAGGGTCACAGCATTAGGAAGGTTGTTCTGAACTAATGAGCTATAGGCGCATCCTAGGCTCAGGGAAACAAAGTCAGCCCAGGCTCTTTTCAGCAAAGTCAGATCAAAGTGATGAGCAGAGTCGTGAAACCAAATGCACAGTGTGACAAGGCACCAGAGTGTTGAGCATGGCACATCAAGTGTTGTGCAGGTGTGCATACAGCCTGGAGACTAGTGTTGCCTGGCCTGGGTCTTGGCAGACAGGTGGGTGTGAAAGAAGAGGACCTCAGGGGCCAAGGGGAAGAGTGGGCAGAGGTGTCTAGGCATCAGGGAGCAATGAGCAGTTAATACAGCTGCAGCATAGGTGGAGAGTCACTCAGAAGAAGCTTTCTCCTCTCGTGAGAGCCTAGGACTCACACAGTGCTGGGTCCACATCTCAACCTTGCCTCTGTTGGCTGTGTGTCTTTTGTGTGTGTGAGGATCCTCTGAGCCCATCCCCCAGCCCTTGCTAAACTGGAATATCTTTGCTCCTCTGTGAGATTCTTGGGGGAGATCAGGAATCAGTTATAGGGCCTGTCCTAGTAAATATTCCCATAGAGAAGAGAGTGTGGTGGTGGTAATATAGGAAGTAGGCCTAGTTAACAAGGGAAGAAAGGCCAGGATGTGTGAGTGATTGACAGCTTGACTCTGAAGAGGCTGTAGGCCGTCTATATACTGACTTTTCTAAGCTAAGGAGAGACAATATGATCACCCAAGCCAAAGATACAGCTTTGAGGGAGTTTGAAGGAGAGTGCAGGGTGGACAGCCTGAAAGGAGCTCACTAGAGATTTCCTAACACTAAATTTGAGCTTTGGAGTAGGACTTTCAGTGCCACAAAAGGAAAATGCAGAAGAAAGAAAAGCAAATCCATTGGGAAAGTACAAGATTTTGGTTGCTGGCCATCTTTAGCTAGGAAGGCACTCCCTCCTTTTGGAATCCAGAAAAAGGATGGATGAATGGGGGAGGAAGCAGAGAGCCTAGTCTGGCAGACATGCCCACCATTTTGCTGGGATCTCATTCTGTAAGTGAAGCCCAAATTACCCCTTCTCTGCTACTTGTGCTCCTATAGATTGGAAGGGCCTAGTAAAGTGCCTGCTCTGGCTGGCTCTCCTCAGGATAGCTTTGGTCTTGAGTCAACAGTAGGAAGTGTTGACTCTTACAGAAGAGGAAAGTCTGTGTGATCCACAAAGATACCGTGGAAAGCAGTAATCCTGTTCAGCTTGAAATCCAGCCACCTGTGCTTAGGGTCTCTGGCTGGGAAATAGGGAAGTGTAGGTTGGGATGACATCTTCGTGGGGATACTTATTTGGGGTGTGGCTGGTTCTTGACTTTGTGAACTGTGAGCAGATAGCATGCAGTACCTGAGGAGATGATGCCCAGGGTCCCCGAGCCTGAGGATGACAGCTGCTGTGGTGGGACTCAGGAGGGCCTGCACACACCCCGTTCCCAAGAGCAATGAGAATGGACAGACCGTTCCCTCTGGGTGAGAGCCCTGACCTGACCTGTGAGAGGAAAGGCTGTGCTCTACCCACTTGTCTGTCACAGCCCAGCAGATGTGAACATCTGTGTGCATGTACATACCAGTCATTGAGAAAGTACTGTTTGTGTTCCAGGTACCAGCCCTATTTGAGGAGGTGGCCATATATTTTTCGGATGAGGAGTGGGAAGTTTTGACAGAGCAACAAAAAGCCCTCTACCGGGAAGTCATGAGAATGAATTATGAGACTGTCCTGTCCCTGGGTAATGCTTTGTTTTCCTTTGTCTCTGGGAAGCTCAGGACCCAGAGAACTGTATCACTGTCTCTGTCTTCTATGCTGTGTCCAGTCTCCTCATCTGAATAGGACTTCCCTCCCTGTGCCTGTCCCAGCTTCTTTTCCTGGTTTTGATTTGGACAAGACATACAGATTACGCCCTTCTATTTGGAAACTTGTATTACCTCTTAGAACAGTCCTCATTAGGTCCAAGTGTTCCCATTACTTAAAAAAAAAGTGTAGCCTTCAAAATGCCATCATAGATCTAGGCCTTTGTTTTCTTGATCCTTGGGAAGGAAAGCTTTGTTGTCCTATCAGCCTCGGACACTTGGGGATACATCCAAGAGTACTCCCCCAAATACACACACTGACATCATCCCTCTTCTCAGAGTATAACCATTTTGGAGAATTTTCCAGTTTTGATCAGTTGGGTTCTGAAATACTGATTGTTTCAATGGCTGTATCCATCTACCTCCCTGCTAGTCACTGCATGGCTGTTGCTAGTCCAGCTCCATTAGCAGAGATCCAGGAATGCCCGGACAGACTGCTTTCCATCCTTTATGTCTTTAAGGATCACCACGCTCTGTTCCCATCTTCTACAGTGGGGGTGAAGGTGTTTCTTACTCGGTAAAACACAGCTGTTTCCCTGCTTTCTTTCTTATGAACAGAATTCCCATTCCCTAAGCCAGACCTGATCAGTCGGTTGGAAAGGGAAGAGGAGTATCCTAATTCTGATGAGTGGCGGCTCCAGGGAGTAACGTTTGCAGGTAATGAGTGAACAGTTCGACATACACCCAAGGGAAACAAGCTGGGTTTTCAATTTCCATGCGTATTCTGTAGAGTATTTAGGAGTGAGGCACAAAGATTATGTGTAGGCTTTGGAATGTAAAGATCCCCCTTTCTAGTATGGACTTGGGGTAACGTCTTTCTCCTAGGCCTCCATTTCTTCATTATTGGTCGTGAGTTTACACTTTGATGTGCAACCTGGTGTGTGGATGAAGTGAACTGAGGCTGATACGCATTTGGTCCACACCTGAAAGAGCATGGCTACTTTGGTCCATGCCATATGCCTCTACAAATTAGGCATGATGAGAGGAAAGGCAAAGCACATTTGTAGATTGAGTTACTCTAGGCTTTCTCTTCCATTCTGGGTAGGAAAGGCACCAACAGCTATAGTACACATTTGAATAGTTATTTCTAAGAAGTACCTAATTTATCAAAAGAAATGGTTGGAAAAATACATTTAATCCCAACACTTGGGAGGTAGAGGCAGGAGGATCTGAAGTTCAAGGTCATCCTTGGCCAGCCTGAGCCACATGAGACTATCTTGAAGGAAAAAAAAAGTATGTGTGTAAGTGCACCCACACACACCTACATACTTACACTTACATATATATGTGTATCATAGTTTTGAGACTACCAAAATATATTTGCTCTTCTCTATGGTTGGGTTTAAAATGCTGTATTTCACAGATTCCACAACGTGCTTTCCTTTTTGTTTTACTAACATTGCAATTGAGAATGCCTCTTAAAATGAATGGCATGTGAGAGCTAATTTTTTTCTTCTCTACATAATAGTGCGTTTTATAGCTGGTGGCCTTTATGTTTGGAAGATGCAGTAATCGCCATAAACCATGTTTCCTGTGACTGCCTTCCAAATGTAAATGTACGATGAAACAGCTTCATCTTTGCTGTGCAGGAACCAGGTGTCTGCATTATAGGCTTAATTTTGCTAACACGGGTTTTGCCATAGATTTGTTTCTATTGTTCTTAGCGCTTGCACAGTGCTTCCAGATTTTTGTAATATTAGGTAGTAGTATGGATACATTTGGTTTCCCATCCACATAAACATTGGGTGATGCTGGTGGTGTGGGAGTGGGGATCGACCCTAGGGCCATGCCATGCTAAGTAAGCGCTAGCCCCAGCTGTCTTTTTTTTCCTTCATGTTTTGAGACAGTGTAGCCTAGTGTGGCATTGAGTAAGCGCTAGCCCCAGCTGTCTTCCTTTTTTTTTTCTTTATGTTTTGAGACAGTGTAGCCCAGTGTAGCACTGAGCTTGTGAACCTCCTGCCTTTGCCTCCCACATAGCTGGGATTACAGGTCTACCCCACCAGGCCCACACATAAACATTGTTTTCATCCAGACATGGCCCCGATATTGTTTGCTCCAGGCTTAGTACCTATATTCAGTTCTCTTGTCACTGCCTAGCTTGGTGACCTTGATATTTCATAGCATCTGTGGTCTCTGCTCAACTGCAAAGGTCCTCTGCTACACACAGTATCCGTGGTAATGGGACATAGGTAAGGACTTAGGCTGTATTATTTGTTAAACTTTTGGTTCACTTTTGATGAGCTCCAGATTAAACATTATGACCTCCCCAAATCTATGAATAAACCATTTTACCTACTGGCACTATTTTTGACCCTCCTTATTTGTCTTCTAGAAAATGAAGAATCTGACTTTACGACTCCACATTGGGCAAGCCCAGTGAATGCCACCACCTATTTCCCTCAACCTCAGCACTTCAGCAGCTTTTGGCAGCTGACTCGGGACATCACTGAACTGCCTGAGTGGAGTGAGGGGTACCCCTTCTACATGGCCCTGGGCTTCCCAGGGTATGACCTCTCAGCTGATGACTTAGCTAGCCGGTTTCAGTTCAGTCGGGGCATGCGCCGCAGTTATGATGCAGGGTTCAAGTTGATGGTGGTAGAGTATGCTGAGAGTACTAACAACTGTCAGGCTGCCAAGCAGTTTGGAGTATTAGAAAAAAACGTTCGAGACTGGCGAAAAGTGAAGCCACAGCTCCAAAATGCCCATGCCATGCGGCGGGCATTCCGAGGCCCCAAGAATGGGAGGTTTGCCCTGGTGGACCAGCGTGTGGCCGAGTATGTCAGATACATGCAGGCCAAAGGGGATCCCATCACCAGGGAGGCAATGCAGTTGAAAGCTCTTGAAATTGCCCAGGAAATGAACATTCCAGAGAAAGGGTTCAAGGCAAGTCTGGGCTGGTGTAGAAGAATGATGAGAAGGTATGACCTATCTCTGAGGCATAAAGTGCCGGTTCCCCAGCACCTGGCCGAGGACCTGACTGAGAAGCTCTTCACTTACCAGCAGAGTGTGCTGACTCTGCGCCGGACACATGACTACGAAGTGGCCCAGATGGGCAATGCAGATGAGACACCCATCTGCTTAGAAGTGCCCTCTAGAGTGACTGTTGACAACCAGGGTGAAAAGCCTGTCTTGGTTAAGACACCAGGTAGGGAGAAATTGAAGATCACAGCCATGCTGGGTGTCTTGGCTGATGGGAGGAAGTTACCCCCATACATCATTTTGAGGGGGACATACATCCCCCCTGGGAAGTTCCCCAGTGGCATGGAAATCCGCTGCCACCGATATGGGTGGATGACCGAGGACTTGATGCAAGACTGGTTAGAAGTTGTGTGGAGACGGAGAGCCGGAGCTGTGCCCAGACAACGAGGAATGCTGATCCTGAATGGCTTCCGGTGTCATGCCACTGACTCCGTGAAGAGCTCCATGGAAAGCATGAATACAGACATGGTGATCATCCCAGGGGGCCTGACCTCCCAGCTGCAGGTGCTGGACATGGTGGTCTACAAGCCTCTGAATGACAGTGTTCGGGCCCAGTATTCCGACTGGCTTCTGGCGGGGAACTTGGCACTGAGCCCCACTGGAAATGCTAAGAAGCCACCCCTGGGCCTCTTCCTGGAGTGGGTCATGGTTGCATGGAACAGCATCTCAAGTGAATCAATTGTCCAGGGGTTCAGAAAGTGCCACATCTCCAGCAACTTAGAGGAGGAAGATGACGTCCTGTGGGAAATTGATAGCGACTTGACCAGAGAAGCACCAAAAGACTCTGATGCTGAAAATGGGGCTGAGGGTAACTGAAGAAAGAGTTCAGGTAACTGGTCAGGAGTGGATCTCTCGTCACCGTTGCTCCGGTCATGGCCAGCACTCACTTCTTTTCTGGCCATTAGTTTCTCTTTTCAAGTTCTCTTTAAATAAGCCTGCCATGCCAGTGTAGACAGCAGGTCAGCAGCATTCTCTCTTTGCATTTTATTCTGTGGCCTGGATCCAAGAGCGCTTGTGTAGTGGGTAAGAAGAACAAGGAGCTGCCAGAGCACTTCACATGAGAGCAGTACCACGGCTAAAAGTGACTTGGGCATAGAAAGCATAGTCCGACACTGTTCTGTTGACAAAAAGTTTATCTGAAAAGATAACTTCCTTCTCTTATAAATGCTGAACTTTCAGGGCTGATCTGTTTACTTGCATTACTTAACACAGTTGCACTGCCTTTTGCTCATCTGCAGGACCATGACCCAGGGAGAGAATGAAGTCTGCTTTTAGTACCTCTGAGCCTCAGGTCTGAGTCCTAGGGTGGTCATACCATGCCCACCAGGGAGATAATAATATGTATTGTTTGCTTTCCTCTAGGAGGGTTGAGAGTTTTAAAACATCCTAGTCTCATGGAACTTCAGATGGGGTGAGCCATTACAGCCAGTTGATGTTGTCACCAGATATCTGAAGGGCGTTTTTAAATTGAATCTTTGAAGTGGTGCAGAGCTGGTTCAGCAGTTAAGAGAACATACTGTTCTTGTAGAGAACCACAGTGTGGTTCCCAGCACCCATATCATGCCACTCATAATCACCTGTAACTCCAGCTTCAGGGGATCCAATGACCTCTTAGCCTCCTAGGCACCTGCAGTCACATGCACAATTCCACACACAGAGACACAGTATATATGTAATTAAAAATAAATCTTGGGCTAGAGAGATGGCTCAGCAGTTAAGAGTGCTTACTGTTCCTTCTTGCAGAGGACTGGGGTTCAGTTCCCAGCACCCACATGACAGCTCACTACCAGCTGTAATTCCAGTTCCAGGGGATACAGTGCCCTCTTCTGTCCTCTGCCAGTTCCTGCATGAATATGGTGCACATAGCCTCATGCCAACTCACATGTATATACATAAAAACAAACCTTTTTTAAAAATTAATCTGCACCAGAAATAGTAGTACAATGAGTAAAATTTAAGGCCCTAAGATCATCAAGTCAGGGTAGGGGGTTGTGTGCAGAAGAGGAGCAACTTTGGAAGAAGCGGGAATGGGAGCAGGAGAATGCCAGAGTACGGGACACATGGGAAGCACAGACAAGTCACCCATTCTCATTTTCCTTTTCAATCCACCTGCAGCCTTTGAAAAGGAAAGTGGCCTGTCTTTAACAGAAGACCTAAAACCATCTTAACATATCTTCCCCTTTAAAAAAAAAAAAAAAAAGTCTATTAGTGGACATTTTACTTGCCCACCCATTTTGCTGTATAATCACAGGCTTTTGGTGACATACACCTCCTTCCTGCTCTCATCTCCTACCCTTGACACTGAGCTCTAAACTTAGGGTAGAGCAAGCAGTTCTTCTTACTGCATTCAAGATAACTGTCATGCTTTCTTCCCATGTCCCCATTCTGTATAAAGGCCTGTGGATTCAGGCCCCTTTCTGTTGACCACTGCTGCCCCAATAAGCACCAGACTTTGAGTTGCAGTTGTTTTGTCTTTTCTCATTCTTGCTTTTCCCCCCTCTCTGTTAGAAAACATTTTCAATTTTCTAAGCAATTTACTACTCCAGGGAGCCAATCAAAAACTGTCAGAAGAGGAGAGGGCAGAAAACCATGCTAAGCCACAGCTGTGCACACAGGTACTCGCATCCCACATCAGCGTGAGCTTCTGCTCCTGCAGATGCCGCCCTCGCTGTACAGCTGCTGAGGAGTGATGGAAAAAAACAGGGATTCACAGCAAACAAGATCCACAGACAGCCATTAAACCACCACCTGTCATGGAATAAAATACTGTTTTTGTTAAAAGTTAGAAGATAGCCAGAAATCCAAGCTAACTATGATTGAAACATGGGAGGAAAAAACTTGTAAGAAAAAGGGCAGTGAGACTCTGAGCATCCCAGGTCTGTGTGCAGCCAGAGTACCCCATCTCAGGACAGCCCCCCCATCCATCGCATATGGTGTCAGCCAAGCCTAAGACCCTTAAGTTTAGCAACAAGCTTAGAAAAGAAACATTCCACCCCATTTCTCCTTTGGGAGCTGTCTTCTCTGCGCATTATAGAAGCCTGTAAACACGAATGGACAAAGAGATTTCCTGGAGAAGAGAACATTGTTCAGCACCAAGATGCACCTGTCACCACAGCTCTTGTATCTTTTCTGTGGAGCGAAACCTCAAGAGTATACCTTTGCAGATGCTTCAGTAGAACCTGTTTCCACACAGGCCAAAACTACAGAAAAGCTTTTGGAGAAACCCATCACTCGTGTACTGCTGTTACTTATACATCTCACTGAGCGAATGAGATTAATAACAGCAAAATCGAGACACTGGTATGGTGCCGGAAGATGGCTTTTCTGTAGGTAAACTAGGTTAGTATGGAAGATAAGAGTTTTAAGATAAATGATGCTGTTACACTTTACCTTCTTAATCTGGTTGGCAGCTAGATCTTTTTAGGGTCTTATTTAATGGCCCTACTTTCCCTGTTACCCTCTTTAATGAGGCAACCCTTTGGTACACAAGCCAAGTCTCTAAATCATCTGCTGTCTACACAGAACAGGGCCCACTGACTCATACTTACTTGGTTAATTTCTTTAATATTTTTATCAGAAGGGCAGTGGGAGGGGTTGGTTGGGCCTTGAGCCACAGCTGCTTTTAGACTTCAACTCTACAAGAATAGGTGTGAGTCATTGACTATTGTTTCCACAATAGTAATTTGCATTCCTGCCTAAGTCAACTAAGAAAAACATTCCTTCAAAGCTGTCTGTGCTACAAAAATTATACCAGAACCTCATAGGCAAAGCCATTGCTAGATCTGTCATTCCAAGTACTCAATCTGGCCAACAGGTTGCTATGACCACTTCTTCCTCCACTCAGCTCATGTGGACGCTGTACACTTCTGGGCATCTTTACCAGTTTCTACTCAGGTACTCATTCTCCTGTTTGCCGTCCACTTTTCTGATCTGTTTTAACCAGTCATTACACCTGCCCTGTTTGTCAGAGTTCCAAACACATGACACTGACTTCTAAGATCTGAATAGACATTTTGTTTCCCATTAGCTTTGTCTGTACTGTCTTGTCATCCCCAAATGGCATGTTACACTCCATACCATCAGTTGTTGTTGATGGTTTTTTGTTTTTTTTTCTTCCTTCCACTGTCCTCTTTCCCAACTTTATTGTTTCTCTTGCTTTCAAGCTTAAAAGATGCCATGTTGGGGTTTCCACACAGAAGCCAGGTATCTTGACGAAGAGTAGAAAATAGACTTAACTTCTGTTTCATTCCATAACACCACTCATCAGCTGAGATGCCTTACAGGTTACATAGCACTGGAACTTTCCTAGAGTGGTGGTTCTGCTGTCAGGGTCTTCTGGGTGCTTTCTTCCACTGAGTTAAGATGATCTATGCCTAACAGAGCCCAGTACAGCTGTTTAGCAGAGTAACGGTTACCAAGAATTACCATAGCACATTGAGACTGTACTCCCTACTAGATAGAAACTGATCCCAGTAATAAACTTTGATAACAAAGACAATAGGCTCTGGTGGTTTTATTTATCTGCCCATATTGTCAAAAGTTTTAAAATTTTAAGTTAAAAAAATTTAAGCTATTGCCTATACTTTATTCATCAGATTTGGTAGCACTGTATTACACCTTTGAAGCAAAATCTTCATGGGATGTACTGTTAAAAGCATTTTTTTTTTAATTGAGGGGAATATGGGGTTTTAAACTAGTTCTTAGAAGTTGGAGGGGTTTGGCTAGGTTTCCTCAGTAAGTCATGTTTTAGCAGTGTTAGTCTTAGGAAGGACATAGCAGTGTCACCATCATAAAAGAACATACTAAAAGTTAAGAATGAGTCAGAATGTCCTAACAAGTTGATAAACAGAAATCGTTCCTTTTTTCATAAACTTCTGAAGTGAAAGCATATTTACAGGCCTTCCTTGTGTGCTATTAGACAGTGGAAAAGTGTTGGGTGGACTTGGTGACAGCAGGGGATGACAAGTGCAGAGCTACTATGTGCTGAATCGTGATGTGCCTGGTAAAGCAAGGCAGACCTGTTGCAGTCACCTATAGCTAAACCCATGACTAACCTTAGGGTAGAAACAACTTGGAAGTAACTCTGAAATTACCCAGTTTCTAACAGCTTTCTTCTTCCAAGTATTTTTCCTAAGTGATCCTTGGCAATATGTGTGTTTACAATTTCTTAATTATAGGAGACTGCACATAGACTCGTGACTGGCAGAGGTATCGAAAATGGAGTCGGCCTTTGGTGGAACACAAAAATTGAAATCTTTTGCAGGAACTCTTGAATATCCTAATTATTATTATTATGCCTTACCCCTAACCCCATCTCCCCACTTCAGAAAATCTCTTGATAACTGGCATGGAAGACAGACCTGAGTATAGACCTCAAAATAGTTAAAGTGATTGCTATGAATCTGGAGTTTGTGGTCCTATTGGAGAGGTGACGAAGTATAGGAATTCTACATTGCTGGGGACACACGCACAAACACACTTCCTCTGCTACACAGAACCCTTAGGAATTCTCCATTGCCAGACACACACACACACACACCACCACTTGGGCAGCACAAGCCCTTCATATAGCAGCAGTCCAAAACAAGACCACTGTATGTGTACCTATCATTCCAAACCCTTTCAACCCCTAAAAGTTCTTGAGTATCACCCATCTGATACTTGAAAAAGTTTGTGCCAAGAACAGCTTAAGCTGTTGTTTTTAATTTTAGGCCACATGCTACTAAATGCATACCTTAACAGGATGCCTTGTCACTTGGCCTAGTACATTCTTTTGAAGTTTGAGCCAAGATCTCATATGGCTAGACTTTTCCTGTTTCTATGGAAGACAATAATCCTCATCTGGCTGGGCAGTGGTGGCACAAGCCTTTAATCCCAGCACTCTGGAAGCACAGGCAGGCAGATCGAATCTAGCCTGGTCTACAGTGTTTCAGGACAACAAAGGCTACAGTGAAACCCTGTCTCAAAAAAACCAATATATACATTATATATATTATATATATAAAAATTCCTTATCACTTATTTGAATAAACAGACAAAGATTTTCTCCCAAAATGTTTACTTGTCACATTTAAAATACAAAACAAAATCCACAGATCCAGATATAGGAACACAGAAAATATTCACATGTATCTACTGTTTAGGCCTATGAAAACCCATCTGTACATCTAATTTATCC